TGTTTCTCCTACAGTTTTGTTTCCACTTTTTGCACTTTGCAGTTTTTCGAGCCATCTTTTAACGTGACACAAGCATTTGAAAATCTTGGTTTACCACGAAATGTTGCGCAGGCGTTGGCGAGATCAAAATTAACACCGTATTTTATTGTTGAAGCGTATTCCTACGTGAGTTTAACTTTGTTGTTCCCTAAAAGAGACAACTTTTTATGCGTAACTTCGTATTTTCTGATTTACATCTATCTTAAGGGTAATGAGTTGCTTTCTATGTCTCCAGTGCTCCTTCCACTGAGAGCTTCCGAGTCAATACCATTTCTTTGTAATGAAACGGTATTCAACTCTAGCTTTATATTGCCTGCTAAGTGAGTCTTAACGATTATGGATAATGATTAGAGATTATTTGCTATACCGATCCGGCTAGCTTAACAACGTTATTGACATTATGGTCGTCTATAGCGCCTCTTTGCTAAACGCCTCATTCTACAAAATTCGTTCTTCACTTTCGTAAATTTTATTTATCTAGTGAAAGTGCCAAAACGTGGATATCAGAGGCATTAGTTTTAAGGTGAATTTGGTTTTTCAAGAGAAAATGTTTAAAGATTTTTCAGCACATCTTTGACTGCTGAGGATCGTCACTCTCTATGCGATCTCACACCCGTGGATTTGCTCACGCTAAACGCAACTGTCATTAGGCAGAGTCTGAAGCTTATACCACGCCCAGTAAATCAGTTCTTATTTGTTGCACGTCATTTAAAATATTCTACAGTTCTCTCCTTTAATATTTGACTACCTGTGTCACTGAATCATCTGTATCAATTGTTTTTTCCTGATCGACGAGTTATTTAAGCTGGCGCCAGTAGTTTACATTTGGCCCCGTCGCATGCAAGTATAGCCGAATGTGTCTTGTGCTTGCTAAGCGAACTCGAAGAGCATTAAATTTCTCTTCTAGAATCTTCATTACATAGTCTGTGTATGGGGACGATGTATGCTGTGCGCATCACGTTGCATCGTGCTGGACCGATTTGCTGACGACTTCTGTTCATCTGCCAGTTCTGATATATCACAGATCCGTCCGATTGATTAATGACATCTTACAACGCAGTATTTCTAGTCATCGACGTATGGCGCCTATTTGGCTTCTCTTTCACTTGTTAGTGACATGGGATGCTCTTTGTACCGCTCTCGATAGCGCTAAATGACCGTTCATACTGCTTGCTTGGCGTTCCGGAGCGTACCCTCAGAGGTGCGTGTGGAGGCAGAGAAAAAAGTAGAGTCGAATGGGTGGTTAACTCGACTGACAAGGTATTTAGGGCAAACAATCGCCGATATCGTTCTGTTTATTTCATTGTAACCTGTTGATCTCGCTATGAAGTTCTTCAAACGTTCTTCTGAGCCCAATCTTGGTGTTGAAGTCGCCAATAGTGGCCGATTCTCAGCCGTAAACATCGGGATAGGATCGTTATTTGTTCGAAAACCAAGAACTCGAGGTCTCTGAACAAACACGTACCGACCAAGACACCGAAGACGTCGACCGCCTACTATTCCAAATTCGGAGGAATATTTTTCCTGGTATCGTAGACGAAAAGGTCGCGTGTGGCAGTAGTCGGAGGCGCCCTACAATACACGTGGGATCGATCCCCGCGCCCGTGGCTCACCAAGCCTTCCGACCCCTCCAGGGTCGGCAAATTGGTACCGGAGTTGTCTGGGAAGATAGCAGTCGTGGCTCGATACATCGGTAGACTACCGCGAGTCATTCTAAAGGACAGATCTGCATTCAATCACCTCCAATGATACTTAGTGAAGTCGAATGCGTGGCTCATCATTCAGGGATTGATCAATGCCGAGAGCTTCACTTTTTGGCTTCCTATCGTAGACGAGACAGAGAAATATCGCTATGATAAACTGACACACTATTGTCAATGTACTTGTCAGGACTTAGAAGAGGGGCACGTGTAGCGCAGTAGTCGCAGGCGCTCTGTAGTACACATGAGATCCATCTCCACACCCAGGCTTACGAAACCTGCCATCTCCCGGGCTCGTAAAATTAGTACCAGAGTTGTCCGAGATGATAGCAGCACTGGCTCGATACATCGGTAGGCCACTGCGAGTCATTGTGGAGGCCAGATATGCATTCATTCACCTCAAACGACGCTTAATGAAGTCGCATGCATGACACATCCCTCAGGGGTCGGTCACTCGAATGTATTATGCATCCCTCAGAGATTGGTCAAAGTTGGGAGCTTTATCCTTTATCTTTTATCATAGATAATGTTAAATATGCGACGTTTCCTCGTCTCCATTAGTTTACGACGTCGTACCCAATCTTTTTGGCCTGTGTCGTCAAGTCCTCAACTGAGAATGCAGATTCACGTATGCGTGCCATTTTAGGTACACACCACCACCACCTACTTCCACACTGAGACAATGTGGAACGGCCTTGAGATTTTAACAGCCTTGCTGACGTCTCCCTATCCAGCATACCTTGTTGGAAGCCCACTCATATTGTAGGGAATGAAACTCTCAATATATATACATATACATATATATGTATATATGTATACACATGTATGTATATATGTATATGTGTGTATATATGTATATTTATATATATGTATATATAATACGCCATCAGTTTTGAAAGTTATGGTGAGAAAGGTCAATCGCGCCCTTATTATTTGCGGCCTCAGAAATCTGGTTGAACCGAGTTGAATTTGCCTTCTTCTAACTCTGATTGTCAAAAATTTCTTTACCTGACTTTTTTATGTTCTTATAGGATAGCTCTTCCGAGCAGCGTGTGGAAATCGTCAACCTGTTAGAGACCTTTGTCTCCATTGTTCAGTTGCAGCCTATGTACGAAGGTTTTCGGAAATGGAGTCACCTATTCTACTCGCCGTTTTCCAATATTACAGCAGCCGTATTCTGTGGCGATAATCCTTTTGGTATGGTGGTTCTGATGTCATTCACCATAGCATAACTGATACAGAAAAGGAATATTTCATTACCTTCAATATCACTCTTACACGCGAAACTGAAAAATTAGCTACTCTTCAAAGCATTGTCTTTGTAGTTATTAAAGTTATGAACTAGCCTTTTTCGAAGGAGTATTAAGCTTCAACCTTAAACACGGATGTTGGAATTCTGTTAGTGCCTTCTTATTGAACTGCCTAGAGTATGTTACAGACATGTCTACTGAGGGATTGAGTCTATTGTCAACTGGAGTAAAAACACCTTTCGACGAGCTCAAAAACAAACTTGTAAAGTGAGTTCTTCCTCTGTTTCTGTTGTGATGGGTTTCTAATCTTACTATTTCTCAGTTTTCTCGAGACGATCGTGCCTGGGAAGCAGCAACATGCTAAGCAGTACTGCCATGATGTGTGGATCCACGATGGTAAGCTTTGATTTCGGCAGCTTTTCTTTAGATCGGTTTCTTTTCTATCTGCATCCATCAGTTTTTTGTATCGTAGGTCATTTTTTCGGGATTTTTTTGCAGTTACAATTGATTACAGCCGTCTTTGAAGTTGTTTTTCTTTCTTGTTCGACTAGTCATGTAGAAAAAAGATTCCGTCAGTAATATTTTTGCTATATAAGAAATATTTCCATTTTGGTGATGCCAGTTCTTTTCCACCTTGCGACTGAATTGTGTGGAAATGAGAACAGCGTAAAGAAAACTGGTAGTGCTAAGGTGTCACTCAGTCAATATTCTATTTGGCAGTAAATCTGTTATATCGTTAGATAGTTTGAATTTCCAACAATGATTCCTCTTCTTTTCTGAAAATTAATTTCTATAAAAGAGGTGTGCAGTGAACAAAAACCTCTTTTCGTTCTGTTTTACCAGATTCCTTATCCTGCGTTTGTTTGCGCTGGCCTTCTATTTTGGCGTTGAAGCTTCCAACAACAACTTTATAGGCATATGTCTTGTCGGAAGGTACTTAGTCCTCTGCTACCAGTGTATTGCTAGATGAGCGATCAGTTGCTTCCGCAGATTCCCGAGTAATCTCTGCTAATGCGTTCGTAGGTCTCAGTCATTGGCAACTTTAGATCGGAGCAGTACAATAGTACCTAGAACGGTAAAATTCAGCACTGGTTTTTTTCTTAGATGATCTTTCGCGTTCAAATATAGTCACCCTACTAGACTGCTCAGTTTGGATGAGAGCAATCTGTATTAGGAGGAAGAATCAGCCGTTCTACATCACATCTGACATCAGTAATGCACTCCAAGCAACGTAAAGCCATCGGGCAACACAATTTAGGCATATTTACATTAGTAGGCCTAGCAGATGTGAAAAAGGGAATGTATTAATATACAAAAGTTACGAAATATGGGGAGGTACAAGTATAGAGATACTATGAAAGATATCCTCCCAATGGTTTACCGCCTCATCGTGGCTGGGAGGTGTTCCTGGGTGTCGGGCAGCGACGTACGGTAGGGCGATTCATTCCCCCGGCAAGGCCTCTCAAGCTGAGTAGACCGGCTTTTCCATCAGGAAATCTAGCTAGGTCGAAACCAATACCAGTATCGACCACCGTCCTGATATCAAACTAGTCGCATGGTGGCAAATCTTCCTTTGATCCACAAGGGCTGTGAATGCCTATGGTGGTGACGACCCGGGGTAGACTTTAGCTAGGCTGACCTCGAGACTCCAGGGAAACGCAATAGCTAAATCAGCAAAACTCCGAAAAAGGGAGGTTGTGCTGCACAACTGGTGAAAACGGGCCGTCTAAGTATCCAAGTAAGTAAGTGTGAAAGATGTATTCGCTGGTTGGTTCTGAGAATACTTAGCCTTTTGCTAACCTACCATTTAGAAATTTTGATGGTGCCACAGTGAAGACCTCAAACTTGGGTAACCAATTTTCACGCACATGTACATGTAAGCACTAAGCCGGTAACGAAGTTAAGCAAGGAAAGTCAAACGAGTAATATCAATATGGACAACAGAACGTGATAGTTTTTGTAGCGGCTTGGTTGGATGAGATGAGAGTAAGATAGCATATGGTAACAAGACAAGAAGCTTAAGAACAACGAGATACAACGGATGACTTGGCATGAAATGCTAATGCAATGCATTTGTCGTAGTTGATAAGCCATCTGCCTCTTACGGCTGGTTGGATAGTTCCAAAAAGTTTCAGGATCTGTGATTAGCGGGTGTCCAATGAGGACGTAAACTGCTAGGGAAGCAGAGCTGCCAGAAACAGTCAGTGCAGACTGAAGAGTACAAGCAAAGTGATTTTGTGATTGATTTAATGAATCACGGCAGGCAAAGTATGTAGAACAGTATAGGAATAACAAAGAATACAAAACATGGTAGTATTAGAAATTAAAGAGTATTCTCCATGAAGTATGAATAGTCGTCTGCTCGCCCAGTTTCCTAATGCTGTGGCGTGTTTATTGGATAAAAAGCCTAAATTATGAACAGATGGGGAATGTTCTTTATGAGGTTGAGAAAAATCTTTAAGAATGATAAATAGAAAAGTATGGAAAGAAGGAGAAATGTTAAAGATATCCATGTAATAAAGGAAGGAACAAATTCTCCATATCTTTAGCGAACGTGCTCCTTTACTTACGATGTATTCATATGTATTCCTATGACCTTACCTACATTTTTCATTCACCTGTTCACTTGGATTCTTCTTCCAGATTTGAACTGTTCATCGTTAGAAACGGCTCTAATGCAGCGACTTCGTCCACTATTCACCGGTTACATTCTTGTCACTCCACCGTCGCCTGCAGTCGAAAGAATGATTGACATCGTGGGGTTATTCGTTATTTAGTTGTGTATTACTTAAATAAATATTACCTGCTTAAATATTTAAGTTGGAATGTTTTCATAAGGGGAGCGTGTAGCGAAGTGGTCGGAGGCGTCCTGCAATTCACATGGGATCGATCACCGCGCCCGTGGCTTATCCAGTCTTCCATCTCTCCAGAGTCGGCAAATTGGTACCAGGCCTGTCTGGGAGGTTAGCAGCACTGGCTCGATAAATCGGTAGGCCGCCGCGAGTCATTGTAAAGGCCAGACACGCATTTACCTCCAGCGATGCTTAATGAAGTCGAATGCATGGCCCATCCTTCAGAGATTGATCAATGCTGAGAGCTCTGTCCTTTGTTCTTTTATTGTATTTACATTCACTGGAACTGTCTGTTGCTACCGTTTACTTTAAAGAGGGAGATATCAGTTAGTAGAAGTTCATTTATATGGTATTGAGGATTCTGCAACCAGCAACCACAGTATTCTCAACTGAAGACGTCTTTTTAGTTGAACAGACCACTTCGAATAGTGGATTTCTTACGACAATGGCTATTCCAATATTCGGAATTGTCGGAGAACTTACAAAATGCGTTCTATTGGAGTGATCTACGTGCAGCGAGTCTGGTTAGTTCCCTATCCTTTAATGATCACTATAGAAATTATTTTTAGCAACAAAGTAAAGATCAATCGTTAATCTACAGTGACACTTTCTAGAATATTCTGTCTTTCCTACAAACCCTCTATCCACCTCAACCAAGTTGGCTACAACGCATCGAATTCGTGCTGGAGCACATTTTCGCTCCCTCTACCGATCCATACTCTTTCGGTGCTATCACGAAGAATTTCACAGAGACCATCAATAAGTACACAAAGGTTGGAGAGGACGAGTGTAACACTGAAGAGTTTTCTTTGATTACTTTCTTGTTGCTTAGGTAAACCATGAAATTGTTCTGATAAATGAGAAATTCATTAAGCTCATTGGCATTCTCATCCTTAGCACATTCACTTTCAGTCCCGTAATGTCGTTATGTTACTGTTCAAATGGTAATTCCTTCAAAATAGTTTAAAACTTGTGGTGTGGTCACTGTCACTTGTGTCTCTTGTTCGTTCGTCAACCTAAACGCCTCTTAGGCGTTCAAGACCGAAAACTTTAATTTAGCCTTAGGTATGGGGAACGAGATCGCTGTCGCCAGCTGCCTTTGAGCTTAACGAATCCTCTGCATAAGTCCTTAGAGGATATTACGGTGTTTATAGTTCCATTATACTGGTGACTTTCAGTGTTTTCTAACTGATCGGTTCGTGACCGTAGCCAATGAGTCGGTCCTGGAGGAGACGGCCATGTGCCTGGCAGACTACCAACGTTATTTTTCTGGAATTGTCATCTTGAACATGACGGAGCATGCCACCCAATTTGATTCACTGACAGTCTATAAGATCCGCCATCTACCAAATCTCGTCGACGGTTGGTTCTGATTAGAAAATTTGGAAAGGTGGCAGGAACCCTTCTAGGTGGAGATTTCTTTGTTTCACTTCAATTTATTCAGGATTTAGATGGATAAAAAGCTAGCTATGTAGGAACTTTAACGGGATACAAGCACAATGATGCTGAGATAATTGCAAAACTACAGACCGTTAGTGTCTGTGGTGAAGATCGAACTCGCTATTACCGGTTCTAGGGACTAACGTGTTCACCACCACACCATGCGGGTCCTCCGTTTCGCCTCCTCCCTTTTAATAGAGCATTACAGTGTTTTGCTCACACATGGTGGAGGTTTTCGATAGCTTATTTTTCAGGTACCTACAGCTACGAAGATAGTCCTCGGCATTTTTTCGACAGAAACGTGCCATTCATCGACCTTAAATATATCACTTATGGATTTTCGTTCCTCCAAGGTAAGTATGCTTCGTCGCTGGATTCAGTATTCACTATCACTCCATTGCATCAGCTACCTACCCTCAATTCTACGAGTGTAGAAGCCCTTTTCTTTATTTTTAAGGAAGTTACGGCGAATAAGTGTTTTTTTCAGAGTCTGTCGACCGAGCCATTATCACTCTTCGAACAAATTCTTCGCGTCAGTTGGGGATGTACGCGCAACAGGAACCCTTTCCTTGCGTTTCAGTAGACACGTAAGTTTCGAAAGGGGAAATAAACTTATACCAGAGGTTTCACAAAATTGTCAAAGCAAACCTTCAACAAGATTGTTGTGGTTTGGAATTTCAAGACTAAGAGCTTGCAACGAAAAACAGATGTGGACTGACCAGATTTTAATAACTAATTGCTCTTTGGGGGCGTGTGTAACGCAGCGTTCGGAGGCGCCCTGCAACACGTACATGGGGTTGGTCTCCGCGCCCAATGTTCACGAAGCCGTCCATCCCTCCGGGGTCGGCAAATTTGTACTGTCTAAGATGATAGCAGCACTGGCCCGATACATCGGTATGCCACTGCGATCCCTCAGGGACTCGTCAACGGCGAGAATTTTATGCCTTTTATTGATCTTTGAATATTCCTCCATGGTTCATTTTAAAAGGCATACTCTTTTAAGTATTACGTAAAAGCTGGATATACTGTAACGCCCAACTTATGGTTTTATTCGCCTCTTCGGTTTTTTGCGGTTCTTTTTTCACTGTAACGTTTACGACTTCTCAATTTTTTATTCTCAAACTAATCTTCAGTTAATAAAAGTATATGGTGATAATCGCAGTGATGCTGAGATATTTGCGAAGATCCAGGCCCTAGGTGTCTGCACGGTTGAGGAAAGACGAAACGAAGGAGCCGCATGGTGTGGTGGTGAGTGCGTTAGCCCTCGGAAGGGCTACTAACAAGTTCGTTCCCCACCGTAGACACCCTGCGGTTCGGAGTTTTGCAGATATCTCAGCGCCGTTATGGCTATATTTCACATCATATTCTGCCATGAAAAAGAATAGGGAGTGGATAAAAATTGGTTATATGGTGATGTTTTAAATTAACATTACATTTGTGCCATGTTTAAAAATTTTGAGCATGGAATGATGTTAAATATCTTCATCCTGAAAAGGAAGATTTCAGTTTCAACATAACCGTTTTTTTCGCACTTTGTGTGATTTTGTCGTTTGTTATTCCTGCTTCATTATTGGTGAAGAATATTGTCTACGAAAAGGAACTCCGTCTCAAAGCGAGTTTTTTTTCCTATTTGAATATTCGTAGCAATTGTTCTAACCGTCTTATTTAAGGAACAAATGCGAATAATGGGTCTTGGAGATATGGTGCACTTGTGGTCATGGGCGATCATCTCTCTCATCTTCAATCTTACCAGCATTCTTATCATTTCTATCATAATTAAGGTAAATCGGTTTATGCAGATCCTAGAAGTGCACTTCCTCAAGTATAAACACTGACTAAGTTCTTAATTCGAAGACTTTACTCTTTCTTTTCATTTAGTTGGGTTGAGGATCAAATTCTCGGGGTAACTGCCGATTCTGAAACTAGGATCGGGTGAGCGGGATTACTCTGGTGGGTGCTCCAGGGATGCTGTCCAAAGACAGTACCATGAGAATCACTGTTGCACATTTGCATCAATGCTTGACGCAGGAGGCTCTCCACACCCTCTTTAAGTATAATCCTTGACTAAATTCTTCATTCGAAGACTTTACTCTTTCTTTTCATTTGTTAGATGAACTATGTATGCTCTATCTTTTATTCAGTCGATTTATTTCAGATTGGTCGCATTCTTCCCAATGTTGATTTCTCGCTGCTACTCGTTTTCCTGGTACTGTTCGCCATTTCTTCGGTTGCCTTCTGTCTACTTCTATCCACTTTTTTCTCGAACGCCAATATCTCGACAGCAGCTACTTGTCTTGTCTATTTTCTATTCTTCTTTCCGTACCAGCTAAGCATCCGTGCCCGTAACAAGATTTTTACACGATTCACGGTGGGTACAATGGTTGAGTTTGTCGATAGTTCCAATAATCACTGGAAACAAATCTGCTTTAGTTGATGTTTCCGCAAACAACTCTGGGATACGGAGCAGCGATGATTTCACTCTACGATGAAATAGGTAAAGCTAGGTGGAAAAACATCGGCGAAATGTACCTAGAAGGTTAGTATGAATATGGAAGCTCACAGGTTATATCCAGAAATGCTCCCACAAGTGTCTTTGTCTTAAACTATAACACTTCATTATAATAGAGTGCTTAAAGTTTCATTCTACAGCTTACGATGTTAGCTTGCTTGAATGCATGGTGGCGTTCATCTGTGAAGCCATTGTCTTCGTCGTTCTAACGTGGTACAAAAGTGCCGTTTCTCCAGGTTTGTTAGTTTTCTTGAGTGAAATGAGTACTTACTGGGAAAGTTTAAGCTTGAATGCCAATAATTGGCTGAACATGAGAAATAGCATTTGTCCTTAGTAAACAAAACTGTCCTTGTTCGAATTAACGCCACTTTATGATGACACATAACTGAAGGACGATATATCTGTTTATTTATTGCTTTTTGGCATACATGAGGTTTGAACTATCACAACGTCTTCGACCTAAAGCTCGACGAGTCACAACAATTGCTGCCGTCATTGAAGAAACCTAGTCGCGCTGCTGCTGAAGACCTAAGAGCGCTATCTCGAGATTTCAAGGAAAGACACAACCAAGTAGCGTCCAAAATTTCAATGAGGAAAGAAAGCCGCAAATATTCAACCTGCAGCTGAACACATGTATGAATCATTCACTTTCATGAATGATGATTGTAATGCAACGAGACGAATCAACATAGTGGACCCACACGTCATATAAACGAAGGCCATCAAAGTACTTTGTACGTGGTCAGCTAAACTTGTTCTACTTCTGTTCAGCAAACACGAGGTGTTACTTAATTTCTTTATTTACGTACAAGCTGACGTTTCGGCGGATTTCGCCTTCCTCAGAGCCCACTATTCTCCTCCAGAGGCGGTCTTCCAAATACTGAACACAATAGTTTTCTTCTCGAATTTCTTCTACTTGGCCAACATCTGGCTTTGTTTGTTTCGTAGACAGGTGTGTAGTACTTGCAATTCGATGTCCGGTACTCGGTGGTCTTCCTCTGGCAGTCCGCATACTTCGTGTAGTCGTATTTGGAGGACCGCCTCTGGAGGAGAATAGCGGGCTCTGAGGAAGGCGAAATCCGCCGAAACGTCAGCTTGTACGTAAATAAAGAAATTAAGTAACACCTCGTGCTTGCTGAACAGAAATAGAAAGAATTATTCAATCAATGCCGAGTTTAATAGAAAGTCGGACTTGGAAGCTAAACTTGTTTTCGTGAAAAGTATTTTTCGTTTTTTTCTCAATCGTTTTCCTTCTCATCGTTGCTGGGAGGTGTTCCTAGACGTAGAGGTACGATGTACAGCGAGAGGATTTATCCTCCACCGTCCTGATATCAAACTAGTCGCATGGTGGCAAATCTTCCTCTGATCCACAAGGGCTGCCAATGCCTGTGGTGGTGACGACTTGGAATGGACTTTAGCTAGGCTTACCTCGAGACTCCAAGGAAACACAATAGCTAAATCAGTAAAACTCCAAAAAATGGAGGTTGTGCTGGGGCCCGCACAACTAGTGAAGACGGGCCGTCCAAGTAGCCAAGCATTTTTCATTTTTCGGAAGATTGCTTACAAAGAGTGCCTCATAATTCTTCCTTTAGAAGAGTAAAGTATAAGTTTCCCAGTCAATGTGCACACTGATATTTTCTTAAGCTCTTAAGTCTTTAGTCGACCGTTTTTAATCTGACTTATCTTTAAGGGATCTATGGTGTATCATTACCTTGGTACTTTTTCCTAACAAAACGATACTGGTATCCTGCTGCGGTGGACGTAGCTGATTTCAGTCCGATTTTAGACTCCGGACAAGGTATTATATATGTCAATCTTCAATTTTTCTCTCCTTAAATGTTTTCATGGAAGACTTATGCTTTGGAAAGTTGGAGTTTCATTGACTATCTCCATTAATTTTGCCTAAATATTGGTCTGACGATGCTTCGAAGCTACTGATTTTTACTCAATAAATAGTGTTTAATCGATTTCAAAGTTAGGTTCGGTTGTCGTTAACGTGTTTCATGAAGTTTTATTTTAATTTTAGTTTCTCCAAACGACAATTTCGATGTTGAGCCCTCGGACTTATCACTAACCGTAAGTATATCTGGAATGAGTAAAGTCTACAGCAATGGAACCAGAGCGGTATGCCGTAGTGTGTTGAAGAAACCGGGATTATGAAGTCGATCTTTCTTTCAGCTGGATAGTCTACGCTTAAATCTGTATGAGGATCAAATCACTGCTCTTTTAGGGCATAACGGAGCCGGAAAAACAACCACTATGTGAGTGCAAATATTCTCTTCCGTCTGTTTGTCATTTCAAACTAAACAACCAGCTTTTGGGTCTGCATAAAGTAGCAAAGAGAAAAATTTCTCCGACGCGAATCCTTCTTATAATAATTCTATGGAGAAGATATTTGTATATTTCCATCTAATGGTTCTGGATTGGGAATAATTTTTTGTGAGGTACATCTCAGCACAAGAAGTGCTTCAGGTTTATGCTTGGTTAGGGCTTTGCATACTAGTTTATTTACTGTTTCTTTGAATCACTTGTTTTCTGTGTTTTCTACCAACCATTTATATTTCACCGATTGAAACCATTATTGAGACGAAAAGGAACAGTGTTCTGAATCCACTTGTTCTTTTACTCGTGAAGTATCTCCTTTACTTTCTGAGTTCTGTGTAAATTTTGCCAAAAGTGTCTGCCATTAAACGGAACATTATCTTTCTTTAAAGAACATTGGAGGAGGAAAGGGTCGAGTGATGTAGAACCTTCTTGTTCTCAGGACCTAGCAAGCAGTTTCAGCGATCTTTTGTTGTATAAGGAAGTGTTAAGGTCAATACTTTGTGGTTTGTACTCGCCGTCGAGTGGCACTGCCTCCATTTACGGCATGGACATCAGAAAGGAAATTCAGTCCGTTAGGGAAGTGTTAGGTGTGTGTCCACAGTATAACGTGCTATTTTCACAGTGAGTTCCTACTGGCTTTGATTGATCTGTTTCTTCGGTTTTCTTTGTGACTTTTTGAAGTGATTGGGAGGATTGTGATATAGTGATATGCTTTTTTCTATGTTAGTCACTTTAATTTATTTCGTAAATTGTTTATATTCTTAAGCCTAACAGTTGCTGAACAGCTGAGGTTGTTTGCAGCTCTCAAAGGAACACCAGATTCTAAAATCGAACAAGTGGGTCTACTATTAATTTTTTCAACTGGTTTATTGCCACGTAAGATTACAGTGAGATTACTAGCAATTGTGTCGTTGTTACATTTAAAATGAATAAGATCGAAAAGTTGACGAGGCGATCACTTCAATATTGCTGGAGTGAAGTTGTGAGTTGCTGGCTCAGAAGGTGGTTTACTGGCTTCATATTGTAGGTGTGTCTTTCTATTATTTGATTATAGGATAAATGGTGTTATCTTCAATTAGGTGTTCAACAGATTCACAACCAAAGTGTTCATTTGAATGCATTTTTCTTTCTCCATAGCTTCTTCTTCTCAAACTTTTTCTGCCAAACCGTTTGCATTAAAACAAAACATTAGCCAGCAAAAATGTTGTATACGGCGTCGTTTGATGGGTATTACTCCACACAGGTTGCAATTTCCGAAATAGTAGTTGTTGAGAAGGGACGAATTTTTCATCGTCAAAAGTCTGGCTGCTAATTTATTGCTTATATAATGTTGTTGGTAAGGAGGTAACTATTCGTGTTACTACTGACACCTTTGCTCTGGAGCACTTCGAGCCGTCTATATTACGTTAAATGCATGTGATGGGCGGAGAGTAGGAATGCTGCTCGGGATTGTGTTAATAATGGTGTTAATTCCACGTCTTTAATAGTAACCGGTTTCATTTTTAAGCTCTTTAGGGCATTAGAAATAACGTGAAAGAAGGTGGAGAGGCCAATCACTGTGAAAACTTGAATAAATCATTCTCTTCTTGCACATTCCACGTTTTTTTCCGAAACAATATTGTCTAGTCTTTTTTTACCATGGTGATTATTTCGATAAACGTGACACAGCTGTAGGTTTTCTAAAATAGGTTTTTTACTGGAATTGTGAAAAATATGTCCATGTTGCTTGGTTAGCGATGACTAGTTTACTATTGGATATATCAACCCACTACCTCACTCGGTATCTAAGCTGTCTTTAGTAATTAGTAATGTGACATTATGCTTTAAGATTGTTCATGTTTTCGAATTCAGGAAGTTGAAGAAATACTTAATGCTGTATCACTAGTGGACAAGAAGACAGAGCTGGCCAGTACACTATCAGGTTTCCTTTTATTTATTCTTGACTTAGTTTCTTAATTTTTCATTTAGGTTCTATTGTAAGTATTATTACCTTTGTAGACATGATATTCATTGTCCATACGGACCTAATTTTTTTTACATGGAATTCTCTTTAGGTATAAGTTTAAAATAGAAGTAAGTTTCCTTTTTCTTTAGGTGGAATGAAGCGTCGATTGTGTATCGGAATAGCATTAATAGGTGGATCGCGCTTTGTGATTCTGGATGAGCCGACAGCCGGTGTAGATGTAATGAGTAGAAAGGAGATCTGGACGCTTCTACAAAGCAATAAAAAAGGTTGGCGAAGGAAACCGCAAGTAGTGATTTTTATTCAATAATGGGTTACATCTAAGACGATAATCTTGTCATTAACGAGGAAATGAAAGTAATTTTGCGAAATCGTTTTTTGGGAGAACAACCTTCCAGTTCTACAGATATCTCATATTGATTGAATAGGCTGTTGCAACCAAATTATTTTCTGTTTTTCGATTCTTGAGTGACCGATCTTAACAAATCATGTAGGCTCCATGTATGTGGTGTTCTGCTTTGTTAGTGGTGGCATCTCCATCATTTTACTATCCGTAAAAAACATGGCCACCCATTTAATTCGCTGACAGGATATTTGCCGGAAATTTACGTTGTTGAGCTTGATGTAGTATATGCCGATCCAAGGACCTCCGTAGAGGTATCTCAGGTAGTCGTCAGGTAACCTGACGCGTCCTGAGGTGGTGGGTAGGAGGATCATCGCATAATAAAAGTGACCTTTGGTTCCATGAGACGCACATGCGTCCAGGTGATGGGTTCCCTGTTTCTGCTGCGCAGATTTGGCAAATGCCATCTGTGTTTGCGAGGACGTACCCTTGCATGCGTGCGTGCGTGTGTGTTCTCGTTTATAGAGGCTGTATTCTGCGAGTCAATCGGCCAAAAGCCTGCATTCAAGTGACAGGGAGAACAAAGAACACCGGAGTCCATACCACCTTTTCGACTCTGCGATTCTTTCACTAAACTTGGATAATTGAGCGGACCACTTTTACGGATCCGGAGTTTTAATCAAACCACTATTTTGTTGGTTAAGAATTTTTCCTTCTAGTTCCGAAATTCCTAAGTTGTTGCCAGGGATAGTCGGAGGCCATAATAGGTCGAGTTGAAGACTGCTGGATCAAAACTTTGCTGGATTGTAGAGTATAGGGCTTTTCATGTCTGCATTTTTAAATGAAGTGACCTCTTTTACTCTTTTGGTTTACTCTTTACTCTTTTGGTGTGTATCACAATTCGTCACCCAGGAATCCGAACTGTGGTGCTGCGACAAACCATGGACGATTCTTGAATACTCTTTTTAGGAATGTGTTAACGTTTTTGAGGGAAAATACAACGTTTATGTCACAAGACTTATTAGATCTTTTTTTGCAAAACTTTACTTGTTTATATGTTTGATTCTATTCTCAGGCTTTGCTTCGGAGTTTATTATTTCTTTATTGATCCAAGTGAAGCGGACACTGTTTGAACCCACTATATTATTGTACCATTATTAATATGGATATTTTTAAGGTCGAACGATTTTACTATCGACTCACCACATGGACGAAGCCGATATTCTCTCTGACCGCATCGCTATCCTTTCACAAGGTCAACTGATCTCAGTGGGAAGCTCCATATTTCTCAAGAACAGATATGGAGAATCATTTCAAGTTGTCGCTTGTAAAAAGGTTCATCGCTACAACATTTCAAGCCAGCTACAATATGTAATACTTTGCGAGTGATTGTTGACAGACTAGTGATAGTGGTGCAGTATGTATTAAGTGATCACGTTAATGTATGCATTAGATGTATGTAGGTATTTCCAGTAGACTTTACAGTTTCTAACCCTAATCTTAAAACGGAGCGTGTAGCGCAGTGGTAGGAGACACCCTGCAGTACACATTGGGTCAATCTCAGCGCCCGTGGCCCACCAAGACCTCCATCCTCCCGAAGTTGGTAAATTGGTACCAGCTAGTCTGGGAGGATAGTAGCACTAGCTCGATACATCGGTAGCCACTGTGAGTCATTGTAAAGGTCAGGTATGCATTCATTTACCGCCAGCGATGCTTAATTAGGTCGAATCCATGGCGCGTCGCTCAGGGATTGTTCAATGCCGAGAGCTTTTTTTATGTTTTCGTAAATCGTGGGAGAGCGGAGCACCTAACACAGTTTTTTTTACTAATAATTCTATTTCCCTTAATCCTTAACTTAATTCTAATTCTTTCTTTTCTTGACTTAATATAATAATTACTTGGATACTTGGATACTTGGATACTTGGACGGTCTGTCTTGACTAGGTGTGCGGACCCCAGAACATATGTCATTCGTTCCTTTCTCTCGCAGTCGTAGTCCATAGTGGTGGTCTTGTTCGTGCATGGTAGTGCGTGCGAGTCTCATACCATGTACTGTAAAACAACTGCAGCTGTGGGTAGAGCTGGTTAACTTTGCTTATGAACATGCCCGCCCAACGTGTAGGTGGTCGTCCAAAGGGACATTTGCATTCTCTTGGAGTCCACTCTACTGTTCTTTTCGTCCATCTGTCCAGTATAATAATTATGTAACAATAATAATTTGAGTTTTGAAACTTTGATGTGTGGTTAAGCTTCAATACTTCTTATCGTGCATTTATTCCAGTGTTTGTTTTTGCTTACCTTCAACATCTTTAAACGCAATCTTTCCTCGGTGCTAGTGGTGTGTTTTTATCACATTTCGCTTTACTCTGAAATTGTTTAGGATCGAACACATAACTATAGGTCTATTGTTACTAGCATCATTACTGAAGCCACAATTCCAATTCGCTTGATCGACGAAACAGAGGACGAGTTGGTGTTTTCGTGAGTTTTCTTTCATTTCTTGTTTAATATTGCATTTTTGTGAATACTACTTCTTAACGTCGCAGTTCAGCCAAATATGTTCATGGTGGGCATAAAATATAAATATATGTAAAAAGTATTTAAAGATAAAGTTTTAAAGATTTCCTTGATAATTCGAGAAAAAACGACTATTCAGTCGTCTTCATGTTTGCAGAAAGCTTCCTCTTTAATAAATTTTGGTATTAAATTGGGTACGCAATGTTAAAGTAGCTTTCAAATAATTAAGTTCACTTGAACGTGAGACATCATAGTTAATAACGAGTGAAGAGGTTTGCGAATTTCTTTGGTAGCGTCGACTATATTAATTTTTGCAGTATTCCGATGTCAACAGACTCGGTGAAGCTGGAACGTTTCTTTGCTAATTTCGATTCCAAGAAGAAGGAATATATGATCATCGAGTACGGGATTTCGGCGCCAACCTTGCAGGAGGTTCGAATTATTTTCTTATATTGCACTAGTTTTCACGTTACTATTTTGAACCTCTTTAGAAAAGGTAAATTTTTTAATCTGCGGAAGATGGATCAGGAGGATGTGTAGAGATTGAAGCTAGAAAGGTCTCCTGTTGAAAGATCATAGGCAGCATTTGCTACTCAAACAAGTATTACCATTTTGAGTTAGTAAATTCCTTATTTTAACTTCTAACAGGTTTCGAGATTTTCTGTAGTGCTGTTCACTCTGGTTGGAATTGTTTGAGAGTTCTCTTCATCTTTCTTAACAATAGCTCACCTTTATTACTTTATAGCCTTGTACTAACTACTTGCACTAGAAAGTCGATAGATGAAACCCTGTCGTAATTTTGTGAAAGAAATAGTGTTTGCAGAGGGAGTTCTTCTTAATAAATTACTCATATCACAAAAGTTAGTACGGGCTACAGTACCGAGATCTCAGTTTAGGAAGAGTAGAGTAGAAAGAAGAGGCCTTGCTTTTAACATGAAGAAGAGCCCTTAAACAATATAGGAATGACGCCAGCTGTTACTGGTACTAAAATTTCAATCTTCTAGCAAAGCGTGCAAAACATATGTTCAGATATTTGTGCGGCTATGTCCACATAGGGAATACGTGGTGCCTGTTCATAAGGCCGGCATTCTGTCGAAGATGAGAAAGAAAATTCGGCGAGGTGCTGTGCAAAATGATCAGAAGCAATTGGTAAAAATAACGCCATTACCAGACGACGACGTAGCAGATACAGCCAGTAGCAAAGAGAATTCGCCGCATGTATATGATGAAGGCTAGTTTTTTTTCGTCTCTATACCTTAATGTGGTAGAGGGTCTTTTCTTTATATGGGACGCATATTCAGCATGTTATTTAAGCAAATGTGCCGGTTTTACTTTCTGGACGGGAGCTGTGGTTCAGTCATATAAAGGCGATCCTAAAGTGCAGATGGCGATATACTATTCGTAGTAAGAAGCATGTACTGTTCGAGGTATATGAATGTGTTTTTGTCACGAAAGAATACACACCGAAACATAATTTTTTCTCTGAAGTTATACTGTCCTTCCAGTCCATCTTTTCTTGTTTGTTTTACTCCAGCAAGATTATCATCTTGAATTTGACGTTCGAGTATTTCGCAGGTGGTGCTACCCGTTTTACTTCTGTTCTGCTGTGAACTTTACGCAAAAGTACAATACGGCGGACCTATACCAGCTAGTATTTACCAGCCGCCATTGCCTCTTATTGCTGAGTTGTTTGGGAACGACACATATGCCTACGTAAGGTTAGATTTATGATCTTCTTTCACATTTTTAACCAGTTTATTAGGTATCGGTTAGAGAACAATCTCTTCGTTGGAAACTCTTCATGCCAGTTAGGTTTTCTTTATAAGTCGCACAGTGCCCAAAAGTATTTCCTATCGTATTTTCCATCTGCTGAGCACTGAATTCTTATGTGTACATAAAGATTGAGATCAACAAATAGAGGTTTGTTGGTCTTGTTGGTTCGGCATAAATCTTCATTGTTTGGAAGTAGCTTTAAATATATGAATGGTCCATCCTTACGGACCATGTAGGTGTCAGAATTATTTCCACAAATTTTCTTTCTTTATCACCCACGTTTATGAGCAATGCGCTTTGTTTCACATTTGGTGATATTCACGAATGTCAGCGCCTGATCCAGAGCCATTGTCATGGTGCTAGTAGCAGATTGACATAAATTTCAAACTCCAGCCCACATTTCTCGTCCGCATAGTGTATTTCTGATCACAGGACTAAAACATTTATGTTCTGCTTTGGATGTTTATCGTCGCATATTTTGAAGATCTGCATATTGTATGCTGATTGTTTTCAAAAAACCGCCGTTCAAGCGTTCTGCTGCACGGCATTCCCTATGAGGTTTTCTGTTTGGTTGTGTCTCAGCTTAACTGCAGAGCATTACAGAAATTTCGAATCGAATTGCTGAGCTGAGTCTTGGGTAATAAAATGGGTAAAGCTCTCGGCACTAATCAATCCTTGACGGATGCGCCGTGCATTCGACTTCATTAAGCATCGTTCGGTGGTGATTGAATGCATATCTGGCCTTTACAATGACTCGCAGTGGCCTACCGATGTATGGATCCAGTTCTGCTATCCTCCCAGATAAGTTTGTAACCAATTTGCCAACTCCGGAGGGATGGAAGGCTTTGTGGGCCATGGAACCGTGGATCGATACCACGTGTGTGTTGCAGGGCGCTTTCGACCACTGCGCCATACGCGCCTTTTGGGAGATTTAAATAGATCAATTAATCATTGGACACGTCTTTCATCGTTTCACTCATCACACATACTGGTCTCAATCTTTTTCCGAGATTTTTTCTAGGTCTGCCGGCTCTTCAAATATATATAGGGTCTTTTCCTAAAACTAGTGCTGTTGAATCCGATTCCTTCTTCATCATTGTCTTCTCACTAACTCCCTTTGAACACAGTTTGGACAATACAATGTTACGGAACCATCTAACGGTTAAATTAAGCGTTTTGTGTTACGGGACAAGTTCCTTGTTATTTGAGCATGGATTGGTGAAGAATTTATTAATCTGACACAACGATTGAGTGCTAGTGATCATACCTTTCGAAGCAGTCCTTAAAAAATCAACACGCTGTGAAAATCGTTTCGAGATGGTCAGAATTCTTAACATTCAGTTATTTTCTTGTAGTCTCTGGAACCGAAATCGTCAGTCGCTTTCCTATCAAATTATGCATTCGCTAATAGAACCACCGGATATGGGAACTCGTTGTGTCAGTCGCGTGCCCATCTTCAGAAGGTATTCCGTCAGATAAAATTTCATTTTTCAGTTTTGAGAAAAAAAATGTTTTAGAAGTCAGCTTCCAATAAACACGAATTCGTCTAGAATTTACTTCAATTTTTTAGAGAGTTACCGGCTTCTGGTTTGTTTTGGATCGGCAAAAAGAAACCACAGTAGGTTATAATTAATGTGCATGCAAAGTTCGACATATTTATTAACAAGATCATATGAGCTGATCTTCTTTAGCTGATGCGAGGTTGGTATAGGTCTTCGTTGTCGTTGTTGCTAATGTTCTAGTTGGTCGATGGCTGACGTTTCGGCGATTTCACCTTCCTCAGAGCCTGGACGTACTTCACACAAGTATAATTATTCGGTGAAAAAAAGACTAAAGTATTAAAGAAGATCAAACTTCTAAATAGACGCCATATTGAACAGAAAGACTACTCATCGTGATGTTACGAGTGGGACCGGCCCCACGCGTTGTTCACGTGTGGTCGCGAGCAAGACACACCCCGGGGTCAAAATATATCATTTTGAAATAGGGCGCCAGGTCACGTGTGATAATGAGGCATTAGTGTTCCGGTTCATCTTTGGGTTTTTGAAACTTATCCAAAACGCCTCAAGAGTTTTGCGCGCTGATGTTTTCGATTCCTGCGCTAGGATCCGCACAGTCACTTCAAAATCATTGCCGTTGTGCTTTTGTGCCCGACGCGTACCTGGAGGAGTGTTTTGAAGAATTTTAACTTTCCCATCTAGGTGTTCTTTTATGCGGACACAAAGTGGTCTACCCGTTTCCCCGATATATTCCTCGCCGCATGCATTACATGAGATCAAGTATATTATACCTAAACTCATGCAAT